ATGGTAAAAAAGCGGAGGTCTCCCAACCACATTATCACCTCCGATTTTTGTAAGGACATACATAGCACGATGTGGGCACAGATCGAAATCACAATTTCGAAGTGCCCACTTCACCCCACATAACCCACTTCACTCCGCAGTACTCACTTTACTCCCCTAACCAACTCACCAAGTTACTGCTTTATATATAGGAAGGAAATGTAGTATAGGGCTGGGTTTTCCATATCACTCCTTTTATCGCAATCATAAGTTTTGCGGACGAAAAGAGCGACAAACCTTCAAACCGACAAACCGACGCACCGACAAACTTATAAACCGACGCACCAAGATTCTGCTCATAATAAGAGAGATAAATGAGAGAGATAGGGTGGTTACCTAACTTTAACATTATCGTAAAACAGTGACCGGTAGGTACCTGTACATTACTGCAACCCCTACATCGCACATAACGATGGAACACGGAAAATATCAGACTCAGGGATTAGTTGAGCTAAATGCAAGGAAGCGAAGTCAGGATGATGATAATTAACATATCCAACAGAACGAGCTAGGCCATCGTGTTGCCTCACCTTGTATATTTAATTTAACTTCGTCTCCGTCGCCTTTCCCATGAACCCGGTAAGCAGTTATGACGCCCATGCTATCCTAAAAAAGTTCGTTTACGGAGGGTTTCGTAGGTAATGCTATAATGACATCTCTGAGTACAAGTTTATCACGATTGCATCAGGGTAAGCATGGAAACGAGACTGCCTTCCGTCGTCATTTCCGTGATTACAAAAGTTAACGGAGAACGTTTTGGAAAACTCAGTTGGATATTAGCGATAATTTCATTTTCGTTTAGCAAGAATAAAGAAGGTCAACGTCAACAGAGGATTAAGAAGTTAAGCGTACATCCTACCTTGTTTCAGTCGAAGTCATCAAGCTTGAAGACTTTGTTTGCGCGTTAACTCCCGAGTTTGTCTGCATCCTGCTTTTATAGAGGTGATTCTGATAGTGGGACTGATAGCAAAACTCGACCTCTACCTGAATCATGGCAAACTCGGCCACAAGCAAGATCACTACAGCGGGTCCTACTTATATAATCGGTGTGTGTGTGTGTGTGTGTGTGTGTGTGTGTGTGTGTGTGTGTGTGTGTGTGTGTGTGT